AATACCTAATTTCCTGTTGCCGGGACTCCCAGCATTACAAATTTTGATGAGAGCCCACACATATCCGAGTGCACTTGCTCCGACTGGGATCCCTGGGCGTATATTTGGTGTTCTCCTAGGTGGTATAAAACGAACCGCCAGATGGTGGTGGAATAGTAGCAAATAAGCGATTCGCATACTCTGTAAAGCAGTCCCAGTTGGCCGTTCGTCTGTTGATAGATACACTGTTTCGGATGGCAGTAGCTTGGTTTGGTATGCTTCTCGACTTCTCGAAGTTTGCATACTTTTCGACTAAAAACTTTATTTTTTGCCACAAGTGATCTATTTTCTTTATAAAATTTGCAAAAAAACTTTTTTTTGGAATTTATATATAATATATAAGCAATTACCTCCTTCGAGTAGTAATCTAATTTTTTTTCAATAGGCATAAACTGCATTTAAGGTCAGGTGGAAATTAACTATTACTAGACTTTACAAAGTCTACAGTGGGTAGAAATGGTTGATATTCTTGATAATAACCTCAATAAGACCCCAGTAATACTCCCACAGTACGAACCATACATACATACATATTTAAGCAGGTTCACAACATCAAATACGGATCAAACTAACGCCCACATCTAATCATTCACCAATACCGCTTAATCTCAGTTCAATAACCAGTAAGAAATTAAAAACATCAGTAGTTTGCCTCTATTAAATATTAAATTTATGGATAGTGTAAATAAAAATAGTGAGGTATGCCACTCAGTGACAGCAAAATACAAAAACCACAACATTAATAAAATTGTATCGAAAAATATAAAACAAAATAGTGACTTGACTGCACACTGCGTTGACCTTCTTGGCAAACGATCAAACAAAAACCATTCAACAGTGAGTTTATGACGCAGTTACATCTATGCGGTTCATGAGCGTTCAAAGAAGCCATTCGCGCCTTAGTCCCCTTTCAGACACGTCAAGTCTTGCTTTCAAGTCTGCTCGTTCGTAGGCGAAGGAGGTGAGAAGAGAGGGGAAGAGTACAGATACCTCCGTACCGTCAATTCGTTTCAAGTTTTCTTGTCTGTTTTGATCTTTTCGTTGCTTCCCATTTAAAGAACCAAGGACTTGAATTCAATTAAAGTTGACGCGTGTGGAAGCAAATAGAAAACACAAAAGAGAATGCGAAAAAAATTGCTTTCAAGACTTGCCGTGTCTGAAAGGGGACTTACTAACAATATTTGCATCAATGAAATGTATGTAGTTGCTGAGGTAAATAAGCCAAACAAAAACACCTGCTGAGAAATTAGTGCAAATTGGCGTTGGTGGTGTTTGGTAAAAAGCAATAGCAACAACAACAACGACGACGACAACAAATGAAAACAATTTTTTCCAAATCATAGCTGACTTTGTCATTTACTGTGTTGCATATGGGCGGTTTCCGCTACACTTGTATTTTTTATTAATTATAACAATTAAATAGTAATCGCAGCACTTTGTTTGGCTGCATTTTATCAGAAGTTCAAGGCGGTACAGACGCAACGAATTGATTACGCTCGATTTTATTTGACCTTGATGGCTTCCGAAATCTACAACTTAAAAATTATGATTAATCAGTTAATTTTATGAATCTATAATTACGTATACACATGGATATGTATATTCGTATGGTCACAGCAGATTAGTTTTTAAAATAAATTTAATTTCAAAAAAAAAATTTTTTTCATTCTTCCAAATTTTTTGTAAGTGGCGAGATTCTTGAAAGAGAAAAATATTTCAGTGTCTAACAAATTTATCAAGCATTAAGATTTAAATGTTTCGAGTTCTCGAAATATCCCCAAAGGTCTCAAGAAATCCCCCAAAAACAAAAACTCGAAAAAATCTCGAGAAAGTTTCGAAAGTCTCCGGAATTCCCTAGAGCTTTTTTCTGTATATTATATTTTATCATTGAATAAAAATATTTTTAAAATTGCCTATTACCCGAATATCTCACCATGTTGTTAATATAATTATCTCAATCATTAACTTAACCCTAATTTTAATCTAAATCTAAATCTGAGCATAGGCTTAACCTTATTCTTAATCTCAATCTTAATCTTAACCTTAATTTTAATCTAAATGTAAATCATAATCTTAATCTAATCAGAATCTTAATCTTAATTTCAATCTTAACTAATCTGAAACTAAATCTTAATCATTATCTAAATCTGAATCTGCATCTGAATCTTAATCTTAATTTTAATCTTAATCTAAGTCTTAATCCCAATCCTAACCGTAATATTAATCTTAATCTTAACCCTTTTCTTAATCTCAATCGTAATCTAAATATGAACCCTAAATATGAATCTTAATCTTGTTCTTAATCTTAATATTTACCTTAGCATTAATATTAATCTCAACTTTTATCTTAATTTTACACTTAGTTTTAGTCTTAATCTCAAAATTAAAAAAAAACTTCACTCACAAAATAATATTTTTTCAAGTTCATAAATACATACACGCGTAAGATAATGGAAAAATGTTCCCTTGGAATAAATGCAATTAACAACAATTTTAGTATATATGTATTTCTTCTTCATCTGACTGATGTTAAAATTTGTGTGAAATTGCAAAATTTTATTTCATAGGTTTGAAAGCTTTATGTATGCGCATAATCCAGATGTACGAGTTGGTATGAATGTTTGTTTACTCTAAAGAAAAAACGGCAAAGCAGGCAAATATTTATAAACAATTGCGGTTTTTTTTTTGTAAACAATGCATAGATTTTCCACTGATAAGTGATTTACTTTAGTGCTTTTGGGAAGCATTGAGTTTTTGAAAAATGGAAATTTCTTGTTGCTTAAATTTTAATTCAACTCTAAGGCAAATTACGCATAGGCAAAGTCAGAGGTAATTCTGGCATCGATTTTAAGACTTCGAACACTTAGAAAAATAGGTACTATGTGGCAGAACTAAGCGATATTAGGACCGATATATTTTTCTCTCTAATAAGAAGTGTGTTAGCTCAAGTAATTTCCCTGCCGGAAGCAAGTGATTTTTTTTTTAAATCAACGAATTGAAGGACTACTTTAAAAGAAATGCAATGAGTAAATGTTTTGAATTTCGATACTTTTTTTTACTCAAAGAAACAATTTGTGTCTTGGAAGTATGAAAAAGCATCTGTGAAGTGCAGAACGAAAGCGTATTCAAACGAAATATGCTGACTTTGAAGTTGTTTAAGCCAAATTCATTTTAAAGTACTTACTTGAAAATACATGCAAAATGGAAAGGGCAATTGACTGCTTCCTAGGACATCGCCATGTTAAATAAATGGGTTGGTTGCAGGTAAAAAAGTGAGAATTTCATTTAGTTATCTTTGAAAATAAAGTAGTTTGTAAATTATTTTCAAACTAATTCAATTTCCTGCAGGGTCTATATCTACTTCCCAAAAATACTTCTTGATAGTTCATGATAACTAAATATTAAATCAAATAGGTGAATAGGAAAATTAATGAATAGGAAAAATCCAAAACCCCGCCGTAGTAAAATCCTACATCCGCCACTGATACATACACGTGTTAGAATGTATTTTTGTTAATTTATGTAGTTCTAGAGCAGTCTGTGTACATTAGGGGGGCGTCCAAAAACGAAATTATTTTTTTAAGCACTTTTTCATAGTAACTATATTTTATAGGTCCGCCAAAACCTCCAGGAAATGCAATGGGCCTCCTCCCCATAAAAATAAATAAATATAATAAATAAATAAAAAATCTTTGGTATTAAAAAATGGTTAAGTAAACAATGGGGTATTGTTATTTGGAGTCTCCTGAAGAAAAGCAAAGTTTTGTGATTGAAAAATATTGATTTTCAAGAATTCCATACCATTGCTATAGTTGTTTTTTCCCCATATAAAATACATGGAAAACTTTGAGCGCTTTGAGCGACCTCTAAATATTTTATGATTTCAAATTTAAAAAAATAGACGTATATATTTTTCTTGATATAGAACAATCCTAGGGGGTGAGAGCATTAAAATTCCGACTTTACTTTTTTTTGTACCACCCTAGTGTACATATGTACATGCATATCTGCTAACGATGATACATCTGAACAAAAGTAATCAAAGACACTGCCAATAAATAGGAGATTGCCTCAAAAAGCACTAAGATGAGGGGGAAAATCTAAATAAGCAACAACAAATCAACAGAGCAGCTCGTTAGCAAAACAAAATAATGCTAAAATTGCACAAGTGATTTGTTGGCGTTAAATATGTATGTATGTAGAGCGCTGATGTGCATCATGGAGCGACAGAACACACGGTTGCTGGCTGTGAGTGATTGAAAATGTGGAAAATAAAAATAAAATTGAAAAATTGCAACCAACAGAACAAACGCAGGCATTGCGGCCGGGTACAAAAATAAACTGCACATTATTGAGTGTAGAGAAAAATACATTTACGAACAAAAAAAAAAAAAAACAGAAAATTACAACGCGAATTCCCAATTCCCACAGCGCATCTAAAGAAATAAATTTAATACAGAACAATTTGCGCTGGGGCCAGCATTTGAAGCTCCAAATAGAAATAAAAATTAAAATTAAAAAAATTAAAAAAAAAATCGTTCGAAAGACGCGTGTACGCAGGCAACGCGTACAACAACAGTAGCAACGACAAACCACAAAAAACATGAAAAAGAATTTGGAATTCGAATCCGAATGGAGGGAAGACCCATAAGAACAAGTAGAAGACATGATAGTAACAACTATGGACACTGTTGTGGCCATAAGATATATGTAAAAAAAAACATGTTTAGAGATGCACACACAGATACGACGGACGTAGTGTGGGCAGAGCGCGCGCGCCGAAACACACATCCATAGATACATACACGAAAGAGCACACACTACAAATTTTGGTTGGCAACGTGTTTTATGTGCGGGCGATCTTTCGTAGAAGGAGAATTTCGAAAAATTTCAGAACGGCCAGCGGAGACCAGCCAGCAATCATTAAGCGCGCGCGAGAGCGCCAAGAATTTGAAACGCAGAAGAGACGACCAAGAGGCAGCCAGCCACAGGCATAGAAGCCACACGATCGGGCGCTCCAAAGCGCTCCACCGCAACTTGGATGCATTCAGTCTTGTTTCGAACACTCAACGCAAGAGACGCGTGCGTACGCAGCAACCAAGTAGCCAACAAGCGAGTGTTGTGTAGAGCAGCGGCGAATCGAGCAGATACATAGAAGTACATAATTTCAAAAGCAAAGTGATCGATCGAACGTGCGATACAGCAGCGATAAGTGCAAGTCCCCGGACAAGTGGCTAAAAAGTTGATAATTTTTACGGAAGAGAAAAAAAAAAGAAAATCAAATAAATTTACGCTTAAAAGTGAAGAAAAAAAGAAGTGAAAAATAAAATTCTAATGCACATAATTTGAAAGAAAAAAGTGATTTTTTTTGTGATTTGGAAGCTTCTAAGTAGAAGAGTAAATAAATTTACGCAGATAAAACCACACGCGCCTGCAGTCGAAGCTAAAGCAAAGCAAGCAAGGCGTGCGCTTTGAAGTGAAGTGTGCGGTGAAGCGCTCGCTGGTCGACGGAAAGTAGGCGCGGCTCCTAGCCTGTCGAATAGTGTCTGAAAAATGTCTGTATCTATCAAATAAGAGTCGTGGCAAATGTTCTTATTTTATTGTTGTTAAAAAGCATAAGCGAAACGAGAAATACTAAAAAAAATCTGACTCTGAAAATCAAAAACGAAAAAAAAAAAAATCTACAATACATAGCTGCTTTATCAATAGAGCGCTCCGGTCGTTGATATGCATATATAAATATTTATACGCACATAAAATATCTAAAAAAAGTGAATATAGAAGAATAGTGAAACCAAAAATATTGCGAATAATGCTTGCGTAAATGCCAGCCAACAAAAAGAAGGTGAATGAGAAAAAAAAATGTATTTAAATAAAAAAGAAATCGGCGTAAATAATTTAAAAATAAAATTTTTAATTTATTTTTAACTAAACTCAGACGCGTCGGCATTAAATTAGCTCACTTGCGATTAGCTTTGAAATCCAGCGTATCAGCTGTTGAAACGAACAGTGCTTTTGGTTATTAGATTTTATATTTTTTATGGTTTTTCTAAGAATTACGGCGAATCGCTTTAACTGATAATGGAACTTTAAAACATCGCAAAAAATTATCACTAACCACTTTTCGCTTTATAAGACTTTGTATGAGCATTAGAGCGTATCGGAAAAAAAGTTCACCGTACACCCCTGAGTTTAAAATATTTTTGCCAGACGATTTCCAAATTTTTAAATTTTCTTTGCGAATTATACATTTTGCTACATATCTTTGGCATTAAAAGTCTGCTGTTAAAGCATGATATATCGATGTTTTTGTCTCAAGAAGAACATTTTTTAGTCTAAAGTTCATCGGGTCTCAGTTCTTACCACACTTACGTACCACCCTAATATCAGTAAGTTAAAACTTGTCAAAAACTTTCAGACTTTGGCTTAGGAAGTATTTTGATAATTCCAGCAGAACAATTAAAAAAATTTTATTGCAGAATGGGTTCAGCAATAAAAAATATTTTCTTCGAAATTGTCTTGCAAAGACACTTAAAGACTCGGAGGTTTACGGCGAACTTTTTTTGTTTGCTTGTAAGGTGGTACGCTCTAATGTACTTACATTTGTATGTATTTATCTCCATTCAATTTTTGCACACTTTCCTACACACACACATATACAAATTATACAGTCTTATATTTGAGTCGTTTAATAATCTATGTTGTACAAAAGTTAAGTAGGGCTGATAACCGCCAAAGAAGCAAACAAACAAATTGGCATAGAAATTTGAAGATATATAGATATACATGTGTATACGTAAATACATGTATATGCCTAATAAAAAAATATTAAATTATATTATCAGTCAAAATTAGCCAAGTGGATTTTCATGCACTGCCAGGCGTGGAAACGTATCTAAATTGCCATATAAAAACACAGTGAGTGTCAGTCAAAATCGCACAATATTTTTTTTTTTTTATATTTTGAAAATATTTTGTTTTATTTATATTTTATTAATTTTTAATAAAAATTTAGTTTAGGCTACAACAAAATGCATAAACTGTAACTTTGTAACCATTAACAAAAAAAATCGTCAAAATTTTCCTCAGGACTTCACACTTTTTATTCAGAATTTTAAGTATGCAGTTTGATAGCCCATTCAATTTTAGTATAACAAAGCGCAAGTTTGAAGTCGCTACGAAATACCGTAGATTTTTGGCAATTTTTTTTTGTTCACGCGCATTTTCTTGACAACATACTTGACAAAAAAAAATTCTCAAAAATCAACGGTATTTTATAACGACTTACAACTTGAACTTAATTACACTAGACTTGAATGGGTTTTAAAACTGCATACCTAGAAAAATTTAAAAAATACTGAAAAAAATGTGAAATTTGTATGAAAATTTTTACGATTTTTTTAATCGTCACAAAGTTAGAAACTTTGAGTTTTATGGATTTTTTTGTAGTCTAAACTATATTTCTATTAAAAATTAATAAAATTTGAATAAAACAAAATATTTTCAAAATATGAAAAAAATGTGCTATACGATTTGACTGACACTTACTGTGCATGAATACCTACGCCCGCATGCACCTTCCTGTCTCCAGCAATTTTGTAGGAAAAAATAACTATTTTTAATTTGATTTCAACTATAGTAATTGCACACTTACATACTCCTAATACAGTACATACATACATATGTATGTATGTATGTAGTTGGCTGTTTAGTGTTATCAATGGAACCCACTAGAATATTCCAGATCCAATCGTTTTTTATTTATTTACAGTGGATTGTGTACCGCGCCAGGCGGCGAACTTGTTTTTTTTTTACTTAGTTGAAATTTTGTTTAGTTTCGTTTATGGAAATCTTAAATGGTGTGCTTTTGAATGTAGGTGTGTTGTTTGCTTATTTCAATAAGAAAATTACTTTAAAATGCTTCATAAACACAAAATTTTCTTGCTTTAGCTCGTTTGTTACTACTTTCTGATGGAGATTTATTACGTTTTTTTTTGGAATATTTTTTTTTAACCATCACAAAGCCTTGGGGCAACGAGCCATAGTCCATAGAACCATGATCAATCAACTGTAGAAGTGTTGTTAGGCTCGCGATTTATGAGCCAGTTAGGGTAATTTTTGCCTTATGAGCTGAATCGGAGTCTTGGTGAAAGGCCTTAGGGGACATTTTCGAATAGTTTTGTATAGAGTCGCATCAAAGCCTTCAAAGAAAAGCTCCGTTTTATAAACATACTTCCGCCGAAATTTTAATACTAGAGTGTCCGAGTTTTGTTTTTTTTTTATTAATTCGATAAGACCGTCTCAGAGATGAACTTTGGCCATAGAAGTGACTAAAATCTAATACCGCAACGTATAAATTTCAGTTTTAACAGATGGATCCAAAATGAAATCTGGAACGGAAACTGATTTACAGACTTCCAGATTACCGAAATTTTTTTTTCCCTGGCCGAGGTTAGTAAGCATTTATTGTTTGACTGCGTGCGGTCCAGGCTCTCAGGCCAACAACGATTTTAAAAATTCCTACAATCTCACGGACAAGACTTCGTCCTGCATTTCTTGAGTCCCAGAGCATAATGATGTTTCGGGAAATGAGCAATCGGAGGAGGGCATGAGAAAAAATGTCTACTTTAAGTCTTCGTCTGAGTCTGAGTTCCGCACGCTCTGCAGAAGTTGTGTGAGTGTCTGGCACCACAAAGACAGCTTCAAGTTCTGGGAAACTATTTCTACGTAGACCTAGGCAGCTTAGCCATCGTAGTACTGCAGGAAATGTCTGGATTAGTGAAAATATTAGGATGAAATCTTCTCCACTTCAAATGGTATGAGACCACAGTAGCCATACCGGAATTTATCACTCAAAAGCCAGATGGAGAAAGTCGCCTTCCTCTGATAGTGATCAATGCCGCTAAGTGAATGTAGGGTTTGCACGAGTGTGTGATTTCAAAATGGCAATGATTTACTAATTGCCTGTCACCAGAGTGACAAATCGCTCGAAGCAAATAAACAAACTTTTAAACTAGCTGAGTGATAGCCACTCTGTACTCTAGGGTCGAGTTCAGTAGCGTATCGTGAAAATAATTTGTGGATGAGTTTTTTCCGCGTACTGAAGAAGAAATGTTTTTATTTTATACTAACAGCCTCCCATAAATTGGCGCGTCAAATAAACGTAAAAAAGAAAACAATCCCCCTAACAAGGCGGCGCTAGAACCGAGCAAACGCTTTGCGCTCCAATTACTACAAGGGATAAAATTCCAAATTTCCTTCTGTGTTACGCGTTTTTTCTCTTTCACTGTGGCTAAATATTTTGGAGTCATATTGGGCACGTTCAGAAGGCGCAACAGCTCAGTAAATGTTGCGATTGCACCTGCTGAAGAACGCGTTGTTGTGTACTTCTGATCAACTGAACAGTTGAGTGTTAGATGATCATAATATTTTTCTGGTCATTTGAGACAGCCTTTGAAGCTGTCAATTATGTATCAAGCCGTTCAGAAGACGCATTACGATCACTGTTTGTTTTTTTAGAAACGATTGCGCTCAACTGCTGCGTCTTCTGAACCTACCCATTACCTTCAGAGCCAAGTTGTTCGCAAAGGTCAGCCTGCGCTACGATTACTGCGGCTGCCAGAAGTGATCTGTCACTTGGCACCGGCAGGCCCTTTTTCGAGAGACCTTTAGAAGGAAATGTCTATGCGACTTTCAGATTCAGCAAGTGTTCTCCAGACTGAATTTTTTTGCTATCGACGACGCATGCAGATAATCTTGACAGATGGACTGATAACAAACGTCGCTCTTTTGAACAGCCAGGCGGCGATTAGGGTCCTTGGTTTTGTACCGATTACTTCCAGGCTATTTGTTTCGCCAAAGTGGAAAGAACGTTACGGAACGTTGCATTAATCTGGGTGGTACAGCGGCGGGAAAATAAGAGGTTTAGACAGGAAGAAATACGCCTAAGCAACTGCGGTTGCCCTGCCATCGTGTAGGCTCAGCTGATATTCTGTTCAAGCCTTCCATTGCAGGTCTGACAGAATTTAGTGACACAAACCCGCTAGATTTTTACATAAGCTCTTGAACTCTACTCATAGAGTCTTCGACTTTCTTCGATGATTTACTTTGCTGCTGTGGGCTTGCTTAAGAAGTTATTAAGGATAAATATTCTTTAATTTCTGGCGTGAAATCTCCTATCGATTGCTCTATTGTGAAATCCCTTAGCTCCACATTTTCTGTATGAATCTATGCATTATTTTCGGAAGTCTATTCAACAAAAAGATAATTCGAGTGCAGCTTTTTTTATCGGAAATCTTTAAGCAGCAGGACTCTGAACCGTTCATATGTAGCATATGAACAATGTGTCACTGAAACCTTTGTACTCTCGCGATACGTCCTTTATCTCTGCTCCAACTGTATGGGAACAAAAGTATACTTACATATACGAGTACATACAAGGAATGTCAACAAAGAAAGCATAGTCAATGGGTTAATGCCTAGAGAATAGTAATAAAATGATATGCGTAGAAATCTTTGCGTATGTAGAAGAAAACAAATGTTGCATATCAACAACCAAATCGGAAAGTCGACACTTACAGACGTCAATGCACTTAAAAGTCAATATGAAAACGGAAAAGTATTATCGAAGACGTCATAAAGAAGCCGACCAGCCGACCGACCGACCGACCGACCCATACGACTAAGTAAATCAACAGCCAAGACAGTGACTGTGAAAAAAAGACGGACTGAGTACATAGTGCTTTAAGAAATAAGAAAAGTTTATCGCTATTGTTGACAGGGAAAAAACCGTAGCAAAAAAAAAAAACAAAGGCGATTATACAAAAACAAACAAGCGAAAGAAAT